GAAACGACTACAAGAGACACACAAACGAGCCACGGACAGACGAAGCAACAGCCGATGCTCTAATTAGTGTCGACACAACACCACAACGAGTCTCCGTCCAGGTTTTGCGTTGACCTGAACTGTTTTCTGCTACATAAGCGAACAAATCAGAAACAAAAGCGACGGACGGCGAGGATCGGTGACATCATCGGGCCTAATGCCACCTCCTGACCCTCTTAACCGCCCACGTGCACGCTCGCAGACATACATTAGGGTGTCCCGTTACCGCATCGATCCGGCGTGCCATTTGCGCTGTTATTCGAGACTCTGAACATTTCAGCTTGTGCCGCTCCGCTGGATCCGTCCCGACGCCTCCTTTTGTGTTAAATCATGTGCGGCATCGCTCTATTTCTGGGCCAGCGCCTGGAGGGACGACGCATTAGCGGCAGCTGACCTCATCTGGAGCCCCCGAAGGCCAGAATTATGGTTCAGTCTGACTGTGTTGTCTTGTGTTTGTGCCGCCAGACGACCTCCCAGCGCTGAGGACGCCTCCGCACAGCTCCCATCCCTCCCAGTCGTTTCAAACATGGACTCCTCCGGGGGTCTGACCTCGGTCCAGGACGGTCACCTGGAGCCCAGGAGCAGCCCGGGGCGCTCGGACCTCAGTGGACTGTACCACCTGGGCCGGACGCTGGGCCGGGGGCACTTCGCCGTGGTCAAACTGGCCCGACACGTCAGCACGGGGCAGCTGGTGGCCGTCAAGATGATCGACAAGACCAAGCTGGACGTGATGGCGACGAGCCACCTCTTACAGGAAGTGAGGTACGGACAAATAACACAAAGTAGGGATTAAAATAAAAAAAGGAAAACAAAGCCTCACGCAGCTTTTTTTTTTTGTAGGTCAGAATTGATGGGATTTGAAGCACTGATTTTAGACTGTTTGATCCATTTGAGGGAAAAAAAGAAGCACAAGCAGCTTCTGTTTTTGTTTTTTTTTGTGCTCATGTCACATTTTTCTTCACTGTTGGCTCATTTTTCATGTGAGAACTCAGAAGGACCTTTATTGCAGTTTGACTCAGTTAAAAACATAAATCATGAAAACAAAGCAGTGAGAGTTTATTTTCCAAACTTTTTTGCTATTTGCATTTTTTATTCGTTTTGAATTAATTGAGTGTTGTGTGTTATTCATGGCGTCTCGATTGTGGAGGAGCTCTGATTTTATTTTATTTTTAAATTTTGTTTTACAGATGCTGTTTAGTGCAAATGGTTTCATTTTTGTGAACTTTTAAATGTGATTTTAATGAAATATCATAACTTCAGGCTTAGATTTGAACCCTTTTCCGACCAAACGGCACTTTTGGTTTGAATGAATGAACGTTGTGTTTAAATTTAAGTTTTTACGGGAATTTTAAAACATGGAAACAACATTTATACTTATTTATATGTTCAACTTGTTTCCATACTCCATCCTCTGCTCTGTGTAAACACTGCCTGCAGTTCAGCCGAAAAGTTAATGAATTTTTGTCACGTGACCGTTGGTCTCAGCTGAGCCACTGATGGCTTCACGGCTTCGGCAAGGAGCTCAGAATTTTTTTATTTTTTCAAATTTTTTTTTAACAGAATTTGATTTTTTATTTTAGTTTTTTATTAAAACGTAGAATAAAGACTTTGACCAAATATCACAATTTTAAACTTCACATCACACATTTTATAGATTTTTGCCTCGGATCAATGATATAATTTTGGTGATATTTAAAAACAACAACATGACTTTTGAACTCGTTGACAGGTTTTAGAAGCAACCTGATGTAAAACGTTATTTTAAACTCGACTCCTTGCCTCCAGGTGCATGCGGCTGGTGCAGCATCCCAACGTGGTGCGTCTCTACGAGGTCATCGACACGCCCACCACCCTCTACCTGGTGATGGAGCTGGCCGAGGGCGGCGACCTCTACGACTACATCCTGCGCCACGAGGGCGGCGTCGCCGAGGCCACCGCCAAGCGCCACTTCGCCCAGATCGTGCGCGCCGTCTCGTACTGCCACCAGCTCCACGTGGTGCACCGCGACCTGAAGCCCGAGAACGTGGTGTTCTTCCCCCAGCAGGGCGCCGTGAAGCTCACGGACTTCGGCTTCAGCAACCTGTTCCAGCCGGGGACGATGCTCGCCACCAGCTGTGGGTCGCTGGCGTATTCGGCTCCGGAGATCCTGCTGGGCGAAGAGTATGACGCTCCAGCTGTGGGTGAGAACCGCAAACGTTTGTTCTTTTACGTCCTGGGTCGTTTAAACCGAATGTTGGTTTGGATCTGGGAGTCGGGACTGGAGAGGTGGGGGTTTCAGGGTTGATACCGATTATTGGTCATCAAGAAAACCAATAGCCAATATTTTGAACTGATGTACAATACGGCCCCATTTAAACGTAGTAAAAACAGTGGTATTTCGATGCCTTTGGTTTACACGCAAACGAAGCTACACGTTACCGAAAACGAACACATCTGAAAACTCCGGCCACAGTGGAGATTTGGAAAAACTCCGTCTTTACGTTTGCATGTAGACGGGAGGAGACGGAGTTTGACGTCACAGAATGCGACAAAAGTGTCATCAGCGTCACATGTGTGCGACCATGTTTACAGTTTGGCTACTGCGATAGGAAGTATTTTACTCGTTTTGTCCTCTAACTCCACATTTAGGAGTAGCTCCACGTCTATGTCGGTCCAACGGCCCTCACACTGTTATCGTTGAAGTAACAGGAAGTAATTCGTGCCATTCATGTTGTGTTTTTTCCAGGATTCTGATTGGCTAGCTTGGCTTTATGCTCCTCGTTACACTGCCCCCTACAGGTTTGGCAGCTCATAGCATGTTTATGTGGGTTTGTGTAAACAAAGATTTTTTTTGAATACGATCTGGTGAGAGCAATGTTGTTTTTGAAAATGTAGATCCGTTTTTGTGAATACCAGCTTATGTGTAAACGTGTCCTAGATGTTAAACAGCATTTGATAGCAGGGAACCTGTCATTCATAACGCTTTGATATCAAAGCAGCTCCTAGCGATAGCATCATGGCATCAGAACATCACAGGATGCTGCAACAGTTTCCTCATTTTTCTGATCGATCGATTGATTTGAAATTGAACAGGAACCCACTAAGGTCCATACCTTAAAGCATTATTAATTATTATTTTCCAGTCTCAGTTTCAGGCTAATCTGGGGCTACCTGCTAACATAGCCGCTAGCTGCTAGCCGTTAGCATAGCAGCAGCTAACAACAAAGCCGTAAATTTCCTGGTTTGTGTTTGTTGTTCAGAGATATTGTGAAGACAGACGGAGAGAAGGAGCTTCATCAGACCCAAAGCAGTGCATTTAACTCGGGGATAATCGGTTCATATGAATAATGATACAGATAATCTGAAAAATGCCATTTATCTTCCAAGATAATCAATCTGTCCGTAGTCAGGACCACATACAGGGTCACTAAATGATCAACAGAACAGGAAAATAGAAAATACACGTGATAGAGTTGAATCCGTTTATCTTTATTCTCCTTTACTGGAGCATTTAACTTTTAGGCCTGCAAATAACGATTATTTTCATTTTTGTGCAATCTGTTAGAAAATGGTGAAAAGTTTTTCCCAAATCTCTTGTTTTGTCGACAACAGCTCAAAGATGTTCAGTTTACTGTCGCAGAGGAGGAAGGAAAGTTTGTTTTTTGCCCAAATAATTCCAATAACAGTCGACTACGAACCAATTAACCAGTTAATCAGCTCTGTTATTACGTGACAAACTCTCATTAGGTCTCACATCAGAGTTTGTTGTGCCATTAGACGTTTCATTTTCTCCATTTAACGTTTGGTTTTAGGGTTTGTTATTGACTTTAGATAAAGCATCTGATGAAACTGCGTCACTTTAGGATCCATTCAGCAGCTTTTTACCACAATTTTAAATGTGTACGTTTCCATTTTTTCAGTTCAGGGTTTGTGTTTCGATCTTTGTTGTGGAGTTTTCTACCTCGGAGTTGTGCAAATGTTCCTTTTTTTTCTCAGAAGTTTCGGGACTTTTTTGGGGGTTTCAGAGTTTGTTTATTGATCTCGGTACGAAGCAGCTGATAAAAGTGTCACTTCAGGGTTTGTTTAGTACGAAACAAAGTACAGCGTGAGATGGCAGACGTCCCACTGGTGGATCGATAACTGCACGTGCTGCGAAATCAGGACAGATACACATTTTTAAATTCCAAATCAGATGAAAACAGCTTTAACTTGCCAAAAATATTACAAAACAAACACACAAAATCCATTCTTATGCTGGACTGAGTTGCACAAAAGACCCAAAAATGCAGCTTAACTAGCAGTTAATGCACTAAAACAGGAATATACTTGAGGAAACACTGCAAATAATTGAATATATGTGCATAAAATAAAGAATCAAGCAGCTTTTGTGCAGCTTTCTGTCAAAAAAAACAGAAGTGTGCCACATGAGCAGCAGTCCAGATTCCAGCCAGAAGCCTGTTTGCACGTGTTTGTCTTTGACCCTGTGCAGGTGTTTCTGGGTGTTTGTGTATCTGCTGCTGCTGCTGCTATATTTATATGCTCGTATGTGATCATGTCTGTGTCTATGTATGGATCACCGTGTGTGTGTGTGTGTGTGTGTGTGTTTGCATGTCGGCGGAGGATTAATGTGTGTATCTGGGTCAGTCGAGTCGGTCATGAGCCAAGCGTTCACGTTCTGCAGTGGAACCGAACGCTGCAGCTCCCACGCTGCACGGCGGAGCGTCGTGGAGGGGGCTTTGGATATCAGACATAGATTGAGGGATTTGTCGCCCCGAGGGGGGAACAGCCGGCCTGCTGCAGGACGTCGGTGGTCTTATCGGCTCAGCTGGACGGGAGGCTGCAGTTTGGGCACCATTTGATTCTGGCGGCTGCAAACGAATCTGCGCTGAATACAAACGAAGCTGCAGGCAGAAGATTTATGTCGGCAAAGACGGCAGAACTGCAGCGTTTAATCAGTTAATTTGAAGGATTTTTAAAATGAAGGATAGCCCAAATTCTCTGAGTGCAGCTTCTTAAATGCATTGTAAAAAAACACAATATTAAAAAAAACCTGCAGATTGATGAAAGTGTGGCAACGTGGCCAAAAACAATACGTAAAAAAAACCTCTGTGGAATGTTGTAATGTTTAAAAAACAGTTAAAATAACATAATATTGATATTTCAGCTGATTTAAAACCAATAAAACTGTCTAAT